CCATTTTGCTTTTGGCTCAGTGTACTGAAAATGTCCTTTTAAAATTGCCATCCTTGAATATCCTTGAACATTTGCAATATGCATTTTAAAATTATTTTAAGTACTAATATACACACGATCACAACCTCGAATTTCGTCCTTCTAACTACATTAGCTTAAAATGTAAATTTAATTAAAAGGGCATTTTCAATACCCATTCGCCCATGAGAATCCAAAAACTTGATTTTTTTTTAATCTGCAGAACTTACTCCTTCATTTGGTACCCATATTATTATTCTATTTTGAACTGAATTTTTTTTTAATCATTTTTTAATTAATCATATCTTTGAAATTAGAAAGTCCTTTTAAAAGTATGTATTCTGACGCCAGATAGAAAACCGAAAAACGCAGTTTCACTATATCTGGTCCATAGTTTCGTGTGTTTTTTATTTTTTTTTTTATTTTTGTCGCACGGTATAATACATAACATGGTTGTCATAGAGGCCGTTTTCATTATTCGTTCTTTTTCTAGTTCAGCACTCTGTTTGGCGACAATTCGAAGAATTTTCATTGATAAATTGTTCCTATATCGACAACTGAGTGGGCAATCGAACTCTCTCGGCAGCCAGCTCAAAGGCGCCCTACTTCAGAATATGATTGAAGAACGCCCTATCTCAGAATTGGATTGAAAAACGCCCTGTCTTAACTGAAAACTTATTGAAAATATGTTGATATAGCGTGTTTTTGAACCGAATTCTGAGATAGGGCGTTCTTCAACAAAATTCTGAAATATGTTCCTGAAAATTTTTCTGATATAGGACGTTTTCGAACCGGATGCCGAGTAGGTCAATCTTCCACTCAGCTGTCGATATCTGCTTGTTTCTTTGAATTTCCATGCTGCGAATTGAATCAGTTTGGTAGTTGGAAGGTTAACCATATTATTGATAAAAATGCATGCTTTACTTGTTGTTAAATTCTTTATAACTGCTTCTACCTGTACATATGTACATAGGTACATAGGAACAGTTTTTTATTATGTAATTCGGTATTTTTTTATTATTTTTTAAATGAAATTTTGCACCTACATATCGTTGCCTTAATGTAGAAAGGCCCTAACTGAATAATTAAAAAAATAAACTATGGCTATTAAAAATTAGTGTAATGAAAATAATCGCAACTAAAAAACTTATGCAATTTTTTATAGTTGTATAACTGCTCTGTAAAGAAACAGAAATGTTAAGGTATAGGGAATTTACATGAGGCGATTTTTCAGGCGATTTTTAGTTGAAAGCAACAATCGCCTGGTGTAAACCGCCTTTCAACTAATCGCTTACAATGAAGTTGGTCGGCTCCCTACTTTCGTTCAACTTTTGGTTCAACTAATCGCCTGTGAAAGTTGAATCATGTAAATTCCCTAGTAGCCTTATTCTACACTTGAACAAATAGCCGATTAGAATACAATTGTTCTTTTAAGAATCCCGCATATGTTTCATCGTAGTTAGCGGAGCTTTTATACATACTTGCACATACAAAGATAAGTGTAATAAATATTCCATTAAAATTAGCAATTATTGAAACAATTTAAATTCAAACAACAATAAAACATCGCTTCGTTTGTTTTTTTTTTTTTTTTTGTTTATATAAAGCGGGTGATATGTCGGTATTGTTTTTGTTTTCAATTAATGTTTTTGAAGTTGCTTAGTGTTGACGTATTTTAGTGTAACGCTAATACATGAAAGAGGAAGGAACAGCTAAACAATTAATACAGCTTGAGCTACTTTAGACAATCGAAAGTCAAAAACTAAGACTTTTTCGCTTTATTTTAGGCACATACATATACTTACATATCTACGATTCTCAATTAAAGTAGCTTAAGCGACTTGAAATTAAATGCATAATTATAAAATTCCCTTGAAAAATGTTATATTTTTATTAATGTTCTGAGACTACATCTATGGCTAGCTAATTATTTTTTTGGAATTCCAATAAAATATTGCTTTAAAGAGAAAATGGCATGTCTCGACTTGGGCCGCAGATATATGTATACAGACATACATACATACATACGTACATACATGCATATAAATGAATTGCTGTCCGTTGATCTCGCTAAAACTTGAAAATGACTTGACTGATCTGAATAAAATTTTTTATTTGTACGCTATAGTTTAAATACCTGTCTGAAAATTTCAGTTTAAGTAAATTGATAAGATGAATGAAATATTAAAATATGGGTATCAAACTAAAGAGGTTTAAAAAAAATTGGTTTTAAAAATATTTTTGAAGTAGGTTTGCCATCTGTTTGAAAAATTTTGTTTAACTAAATTTATAAGATAAGTTAAATATTATAGTATTGCGGTGGTAAACGATAGAGATTTAAGCAGGGTTATTTTCGAAAATATTTTCTAAATTAAAGAGATTTTAGAAAGCTCAATGTCTTTAATTTCTTTGTAGAGGTATGCAATATTGGTATCAAAGGAAAAGTATTTGAGAAATCTTTGATTTTAAAATATTTTTCAATAGGTATGCCACTAGGGTTATTGACTCGGTTTTTCCAAACCGGTTTGCGGCGGTTTTGTTGGAAATCTATAAGCGTTTTTTTTTTTTTGAAATCTTGCCTTTTCTAATATCGGATTATTTGATCGAACAAACCTTGATATCTTCTTAATAAAAGCTAATAAATGTATTTTTTGGTTATGACTTCATTCCAAGATAAGTATTTTCACTATATAAAAACTATGTTAAAATAAAACCGGTGCTTTCTTAATTTAAAAATCGGCAACCGGTTTTTCTTCAAATAACTCGAAAACCGGTTTTGGAAAAAATGCGAATAATCGAATACCATAGTTGTCACCTATCTAAAAAGTTAGAGCTAACAAGTAATTAGCAAAAAACCCGACTTCAATTCTCTATATATATATATATATATATTTCAAGAACCAGTGATCGGATCTAAACCAGATTAGTATGGGAGACACTACCTTACGTGGTCCAATGTTATGGGGTACATACAAAAAATATATATATTCCGAGGATATTGATAACCTCCTCCTTTTTTTGGAAGTCGGTTAAAAATATGAATATGCATGAAATATTACAAGATTGCTACCAAACGAAAAAGTGTTTGAGAAAGCTTTATTAGACAAAAACATTGCTCCGGAAATATCGCGATCGAGACAATGGTGGAGGCCTAGGGTTCAACCTACATCACACTGTGCAGCATTGTCTAATCGAAGAAGACATCGACGCAAGGAACGCCGCCCTAGAATGTCATGGCATAGCTATCCGGTCAGGTGAGATCGAGCTCAAACTATTTAATGTGTATATACCCCCTGTCTACATTCGGCACCATGAATGATGGCGCCCCCACAAGGATTGTGGTTAGCTGCAGCAATTCGCCAGACCTAACAATTGCTAGCGGGGACATCCCCGAGATCTATTATGAAATTTATAGAATCTCTAGATACGGTTAGTCGAAGTTTTGTGATGAGCTAATGTCACAATAGACCTATCGGTCGCAGTGCTATAACTATCTATCAAGCATGTGCCTTATAAATAGCATAACGTGGCGACCTATGCTAACACTCGCATCAGCCAACCGATTTTGCCGAACATTTGTCAACTTCAACAAAACAGATTGAAACGACTTCACGGAAGGCACTGAGAGCGATTTCGCCGCCCTTCCCACGCCCGCAAACGTATATGTTGGCGAACGCCAGTTCCTCAAGGTATTCACTGCCGCAGCGGCTGGCTTCATTTCATTCGAACACTTCGCGAAAGTCCGCCCAAACTTTCCGACAGAAGCGGCTGCTCTCGCATTTGAGCGTGACCACCTACGCTAGGTTGATTCCGGGGTTCCCCGCCTAAGGGTCATTAATTTGGAATCGGCAAACTCATAAACCAACATAAGCAGAAAAAGTGGGAGGAGTATTTGAAGACTTGCAACTTCGCCTCTGGTTTTAATAAGCTCTGGTCAGCCGTGAGGTCAATGTCCTATCCGAAGAGACTTGACGACAGAGTGGAAATCTCATTTGATTGATTGCTGTTTTTGGTAGGATTCCACAGGCATGATCACCCCAATAGATGTTTGCTTGAGGAAGTGCCTCCGCCCAGTCACGTCAGAGGACATACTTTCGAGTATAAGGGCGCCGTTCAGACCTATATCGACATACCACTGGATCCGACGACGTATCAACGAAGATCAACAGCATTCTTAGAGAGTCGGCCACCACCTACCACTACTCTTGACCATTTCCACGACTGCCGGTTCTACTTACCGAATTGATTTGGGTTTTACCCGACCAAGAGCTGTTTCGGCGATCTAACCTCGTTTCGGTTGGCGAAATATCTTATGCGGCATGCGGAGACACACCCCACGACTCTAGACATGTCTTCGCATGCCCACTAAACTACAAAACTGACGCTTCTGTCGCCCCTTAGTTGAGCTTGACAACAACGATTGAGGGACAAGCCGATTAGTCAGGATTGAGCAGCTGCTACAACAACAACTACGCTCGACCTAGACTAGACCCCCCCCCCACGACATACCTATTGTATAAACTCCACGTGAAGGTTCGCCGTCTGGCAACAACCAACTCTGCACATACCTGCTCAAACTAAGATCACTATTCCTTTGGTGCGACCCCGTAGAAACAGCAAATAACCCTGGGTCTGCCGTTAGCTGAGCTTCACGACAACGACTGAAGCGTCTAAGTAACGGTTTCAACAAAAGTTTGTTGACGACTAGTTTGAAATTGTTCTCACGATAAGAAAAAAATGTAAGCAGTTATTTTCAAACTACGGATGGTCGTTTTAACGCTTCCAAATCGGCTCAGGGAAGGAAGCACAGCCAAAAAGCTTCACCTTAGCACAGCTCTAACACATCATCTTAGAACAATGGGCTGCAACATGACTTACTATAACGCACAAAAATTTCAAAAATATGCCATTAGCAGTTTCCATAGCATCGGGAAAAAGCACTTAAAACGCCTCGGTAATTTTCTCCGAAAAAAAATCTTTATTTGAGTTAACTTTAAAAATTGCAAAGCACATTATGTTGTTATGTATGTATATATTTGTATTTGTTACTAAATTACATTACCTTTTTACGTGAATATCTACAATAGCATATAGAATGTATGAATGTGTACATATGTAAGCATATTGGTGTATGCGCCCAAATATTTTCATATTTATATACATACACACTTTATTGTACGCGTGTACATACTTGTGCACAAGAGACCATATCATACACAAATAACTTAAAGCATTAAATGTGAATAATGTAAGGGATTCATGTACAAAAATTATTTTATTTTTCGTATGATAAATATGTACTTTAAAATGAAATCTTTTTATTTTCCAAGAAGTACATCTTTTTTTTGTTAATTTATGATGTATGTGTATGTAAGTTAAGGTTCCAGCTTCCTTTTCAATATGCTAAAATATTCATACAATAAAACTTATGTACTAAAACAATGAGGATGGGTGGTGGTGCTGATGGTGGTGTTGATAATGTATGTATGTATGTAGATATAATAAAGAAATTAATTATATTGTATTTAATTAATTTGTAGTATTTTTAGATGTAAGCACGCATGAACTTTCTGCCTACTTCAATTAGAAATGTGGCAAATGGCCGTGGTCATCTATGCCGGGCAACATGTATGTGTGTAGTGTGTCCTCGTGTGTCGATAATGAAGTGCTGTTGCGCGACGTTTGGGATACAGAGGCCCCCGGGCTCTCATCTTCCACTTCCACACCCATTTCAAGTTTGATGTTCATATCACTGTGGCTACTGGAAGCAAGTAGTGGTGAAAATTCATTGGTAGTTTGAATATCCTGCGTTTCAACGATGTTGACGGCAGCTACTTCCGCTACAGCCGCTCCCGCCACCGACTCAGCTGCCAAATCATGTATGTGCTTCTGTGGGCGTTGATTCGCCTGTTCAACATCTGAACGCCGAAGCATGCGTCCATTCGAAAGAGAAACTGTGAAATCATGGGGATTTGTGTGACCAACACTTTGCCGATAGATCTCAGCGATTTCCTCCTCGGTTAGGTCGCGTTGATGTATGCGCCGCGCGTGCTTTCGTAAGCTGTGAAGGATGCAAAAATACGTACATTAAAAACCCAGGGCGGAAAATGTGAAGTTTAACAAAATTTAATATAAAGAAAGTTAAAATATATAAAACAAAATAAAATTAAATAAACTAAAGTAAAATAAAGAGGTGAAAGATTGCATGAATTTAAAATAAAATGAAATAGAATATTTATTCAATCCCTAAGGTATTGATTTATAGTACTGCTGCAATCTGTCTGATACAAGCAGTCAAAAGATATTAGAATTTTTCTTTACTCACGATTCACGTTTTTTGAACGAATGTCTGCAGAACTTGCATCTATAGGGCTCATTACCGTTATGTATCCAAGCGTGTATCTTCAATTGTGCCTGTGTCGTAAACGTGCGTCCACAATCTTCCACAGGGCAGCGTTCACGCTTACCCAAATGTACTACATCGCAGTGCCGTTTCAGATGATGCGGATACCGAAATTGTTTAGGACACATTTCGCACTTGTGTGGCTTCTCGCCGGTATGCGTTAGATGGTGGGATTTCAATTCTGTACGACTGATGTAGGTTTTCGGACAATGATTACAACGAAATATTCGTCCCGTATGCCGTTTCATGTGATGTTTAAGTAACTCACTGGACTTGTAATTACATTGACAAATGTCACATTTGAAGAGATATTGTGACCGTTCCGACATTAGTAAAGTAGCATTTTCAACGCCTGCCGTGGCGACGGATGCATTGTTAACAGCACCCCCTTTACTACTTTTACTAGTAGCAGCACGAATTGGTATGCATTCGTGCGTATGCAATTCAGCAGCGGTGCGCCAACTTTGTGCACACATGCCACATGCATATTCATCGAAGAGTTGGTTGTCTTCATTCAACTGATGATACATATCATATGTAATTATCTTAGTAATTTCAGTCGTTTCTGTGGTGCCTTTTCTTCTTATTCTTGTATTGCTTTGTGTTGCCGCTACGGCGGGTTTCTTTGCGCGTTGAGTTTTCGTCTTTTGCTGATTTACTGCATGCGTATTTTTAGTAATGTCATTATTAGATTTCTCTTCTTGCTCCATGTCGGCAATTAGTTTGGATAGTGGCGAAATTTCGGTTGTGGCTGCCGCTTTATTGGCTACATTGTGAGCATCGTTGTTGTTGCTGTCTTCAAAGCCGCCGGCACAAACAGCAGTATGCTCTACGACATAAACACCATCATCATCATCATCATCATCTTCAGCGGCAGTATTGTTGAATCGATATGAATGTGTTATTTTGCCTCGGCCTGCATGCAGAGTACAATTGATTGTGTTGATTGGAAACATTTGCTTCACACTTTGCTTATCTTATTATTTTTGTTTTATTCATATTTTATATTTAGTTTACATTAATATTGTTTTATATTAGTTTGTTTTTTATTACTTAGCTCTAGCTGTATTTTAGACACAAACACACATTTTTACATATGTATTTGGACGAGGTTACTTTTCAATTAACATTCTGTATCAGTTTCAAGTAACATTTTTAATTTCTGACTTTGGGTGATTTGGTTCTTAGTTAAGCCTTTATATACCTTACCGCAAGCTGATGCAGATGTGGATGCAGACGATGACGCTGCTGCTGCTGTCGTTGTTGTTGCGGGTGCTGTATCTTTCATTGCTATATACGGCTGATATTGTTGTTGTTGTGGTGGCTGATGCAGTAATTGCAGTTGATTGCGCATAGCATTATTTGCAGCACGCTGTTGTTGAATTATAGTCGCCACCGAATGACTACGTTCCAAATGGCGTACGAGACGCGCTCTCGTCGCATATGAACGTATACAGCGTGGACACTCAAATGGCAATTCTGAAAGGGAAAAGAACAAGCACATTGAAATACATAGAAAATAGCGGAAAAAATATTTAATTTTTTTTTTAATTTTCTGCTTTTCAGATGATTGTCGTAAGTAATTCCCAATATGCGAACCTCTTTTCACATATACATACGTATGTACTTACTTTGCAAGATGAAATTTTCTGTAAAGAAAAAAAAACATATCTTAAGCAGATTTATAAATTAGAATGCTATATACAGCGTAATTTCGCTCTCGAAAGTGCTTACTGCAGCTTTTTTGTGTAGTTTACTTAAAAATCGACACTACTTTATCCGAGTTTGGTTATATTACATATCCGTAAATAGTGGCACAAAACAACTTTAGATAAGAAAATGTTGTATTAAGTAAACGAAACTAGTGGCTCGACCAAAAGCTCTCGCGGGTTTATTTTCTTCTTATTTTTGAGAGCTTGCGCGGTCGTTAGAAATGCAACCAGGCTTCTATTTTAAATGCACAAAAATTTTAGGATTTCAGTATAGTATCGCAATTTCACGATCCAAATTCTATAAGGTTTTACTAGTCTCGTTCGCCGAAAAGAAATGTGACGTTATGTAACTATTACTTAATATTTTCTCGGAGAGTAATATGTATGTATCAGTTTATCAAGCGTAAACACTTTCTTTAGTCGCAAAATGGATTTATTTCAAACTCAACGAGATCCGTCCGTTTTCTTACCGTCCACAAGGCCATGTGTGCTGTTCAAATGTATCTGCATTATGCTTAAGTCAGCGGTTTCAAATGGACATTTGGCGCACATTAATGTGACCGCTAAAACAATATGGAAAAAAATAATAATATTCTTTTAATAATAATAATTTTATACACAATAGCACTTGAACTGGAAAACCCCTGCAAATTCCCAAAAGCACAGAATTGGTTTGAGTAAATTGCAAAATTAAGTTCATTTGAAAACATTTAGAAATTCCTCAGTAGCAATTCATTAAATTAGCCATGAGATAATTACTACCCACCTTTTTGCTCGACTATATTCAAGTGCTCGATCGGTGTATGGTCCACATCAACTGCAGTAAAACAAGAAGAGTATAGGCATTTCCAAGCATATATACATACATTTTTACGATCCAATTAAAAAAAGTATCTTACCTTTGTCGCCTTTGGCTTGAATCATATCTCTAGATGGCATTTTCTTGTGCACGGCACGATAGTGACGAATCAATGCGCGCTTTGTATTATACAAATTAGTGCACATTTCACAACGATAAGGAGCCAAACCTGCAACAACAGCAAAAGAAAAACACACACACACACACACAAATGTACCTTGCTAAGCTTAGTAAAATATATATGTACATAGAAACAAATAGGATATGATTTTCCATAACGAATATTAAACTTACCGCGATGCACGAACATGTGATTTTCAAATTGATATTGACTTAAGAATTTCTTATTGCAATGTACGCAATATGGCTGATAGTTGTTAGCGTTAAATGAGTCACGCTGCTGCTGGTCCTGCAATATATCATCGAAATCATCATCACTTGTCAAAATTAAGTCCTGAAAATCTATGCCATCATCCTCTTCATTTTCTTCATCCTCATTTTCGTCCTCTTCGAAATCTTCGAAGAGTGCATCATTAAAAACAAAATCTAATTCACTGTTATCTATAGTTGTGTCCGTCTCAACAACTTGCGGTATGGCGTCCGAGGGTATTTGTTGACACGCATACCCCGCCATTACAGCTACTGACTGCTGGTGGTGGTGGTATTGCTCTTGCTCTTGCGGAATGCCATTGACATTGCTCGCACTAACCACTGTTTCCATTGGCACTGTGGTCGTTGATATGGTTGCGGCCACTGGTATGTCCATAATTATATCTGGCGCTGGTGCAGTCATTTGCACATTAATTTGCATAGCAGCAGCTTGGGCCTCTGCCACAGCAGCATCGACAAGGGCCTGTGCATCAATTATTGCAGATTCACTGTTAGCGTTGTAATTATTGTGACCGTCGATGTTGGCAGTTAGCAAAGCGTTTACATTGTTCGCTTCATTTGTGGCTATTTGATACTGCATTGTATTTTGTTTGAGTAAACTTGTGCCCGGGCCAGAGATATTTATTGCACTGGACATTAGACCTTCGCCGATGCGATTATCAACGCTTCTGCCTTCACCACAACCGTGTTGTCTGTAGTGATCTTTAAGTTTTTCTCGCCAATAAAAAGTTTTTGAACATTTTTTGCAATTTAATCCTTTTGGATAGTCTGGCCGTAAGGGTTTGCCGGGTGTTCCGGGCGGTGAATCGGGAGGTGATGTTTGTAGCTGGGACAGAGTGGCCGACTCATCTAATAGAGCAATAATTATTGAGAGAGCGTATAATGAAAAACAAAAAGAAAAAAGAGTAAACCTACCGATTGTCGGCCGCAATTGCACCTCGGTCGCCTCCTCCTGGTGCTGACTCAAATAGTGTCGACGTAAATGGGATTTTATGCGTGTTTCGAAGAGGCACATATCGCAAGCATATATATGTTTAGCATCTGTAGGTTGTTCGTGCGGTCGTACTTTATTTTTCGGCTGCAATTGTTTTTGGGTTGGCTGCAGTTTATGCTTGGTTTTATAATGTTGCGTTAAATCAATCTTGAAGAATGTATAAAACGCACACTGGTCGCAAAAGAAATGGGGAATTTCTGTGAGAGAATTTGTCAATATTAATATCAATTAAATTAAAAAAAAAAAAACGATTCCAAAGCACATACCATTATGTGTTAACATGTGCGTTTTAAGTTTATCTTGTGTTTGAAAATTACTCGTACATATCTTGCACTTAATGCGCTTTGCCTGTACACTTGCTGCAGTTATAATTGACGGTGGCGGCATTTCATCTTCAATGTTTTGCAACGCTATTCGAATATATATAAGAAATTATTCTATTGAAAAGCCTTTAAAAGAATATGCCAACGTACTTTGCACAGTAGTTTCTGGTTCAAAAGATGATGACGTCATACTAGAGGCAGAGAGGTCATTGCCTACACTTTCTTCTATTATAATGTCATCAACATCAACATCAACATCAACGTCCATATTCATAATCGTTTGATTATCAATCTCCCCGGAGTTTTCTACTTTCGTAATATTATCCATCAGTATCCCATTGTCTATTATAACGCCATCATGGGCCGCATTAATATATTCGATGACAACTCCTGAAATAAACACGTGAAATCGATATTAGTATTTTTAGCACAACAAAGTACTTTGTCGTGTGAACACGGACCATTGCCCATAACTTCCTCCACCGTACCATCCGCCATAACGATAAACTCATTGCCAACGGTCAGTTCATTTGCTGCTACGTTGAACTGATCCGTGCCGTATTGCTGCAACTCGGTTGACATGGTTGTCCTATGATCGTCCTTCATTGATAAAGTTGTTGCATTAACTGGTTCAGAATAAACATCCGCTGCAGTTGCCGCTGCTGCTGCTTCAACATAAGCTGCTGCTGCCGCTGAGGCATTGCTGCTGACAGGTGTTAAAAATAGAGCCATATCTATTTCTTCTTGTTCTTGTGCATTTTCGTTTTTGGCTTGCAAAAATTCCTCATTTGCCTCTGAATTGTGTATTTTTTCCATTTCTTGTGAAATTGGATCCTCCAAATCTGGTTCTTCCTCTTTCTTGACTACCAACTGATCTGGTTGTTTAGTTATCGGCTTTAGCTGTTCGCGTGTAGCTTGCGTGTTATGCACCAGCTTATAATGATCCAAGAGCAATGTGCGTTTCTTACATTCAAAGCTACACTGTTGACAGCAGTAAGATATTATATCTAAAAATAGATATGTATGAATATATATGTATTTCTTAAAATCTAATAATTTGCATACCTAAATGCAATTTTACATGTTCTTTTAAAGTTTTCTTTGTTTCAACTTTCTCATTGCAGATTTTGCATCGGAACCGCATTTTGGTGCCATCCGTGTTCTGAATGTAGATAAAAATTTGCGAAAATATAATTAAACATGTTTTTGTTTTCGTATTTTATTTAATATTTTCTTACCACACCATCTTCGGTTGTCTTGCCCCCATCGTCCCCTACTATACCATTCTTACGCTTCGTTTTCTCACTCTTTTGTTTCTGTTTAGGACACTCGCTCAACTTTTGTCGCAATATTTCGTGAGCCTCCAATGCATTGCGTATGAAATTGTAAGACACTTGCAACGATGCACTACACTCCGTGCATATGTAAATGGGAAATTCTAACTTTTCACAGTCATCGCCATCGTCCAAACGCGTACAGTACCGCAAGCATTCCATAAAGCTCACGGGCTTCTCGTCAACATCATCATCGTCAACAAATATTGGCGAATCAAGCTTATAAAATTCTGCGTCCGAGGAGAGGCACGTTCGACAAACAAGCCTGTAATCCATTGGCGCCGTTTCCTCAATCAGCGACTCTGCGTCCATTACACGGCGTCAAATATTCCTTGTCCACCGCGTGCTTTGCTCTCTCCGCACAGTAATAATAAACTTAGCACGGCTTTAAAGTAAAACTTAAAATGTACTAATTTTATATTTTAACCTGAAATATCTATAATCCGATTAAAATATTGTTTTGCATAGCAAAAAAGACGCACAAACGTACAAATTCACAAATTTTTCACACTTCTCCTTTTTTGTTGCTTTACATTAAGAAACTGTCAAAGTCGAGCGGAAATTACCCACGGTCTGGCATCACTAACTCGGCTATGTACAAAAAAGGGTGGCCAAGTCCATAAAGAAACACAGGGTGTCAAAAGGTTCCAGGTTCCATTGGAATACACTACCGGAAGTCATGGAACAGCACAGCACCGGACGTCGTTCGGCCGCCATAAAAAATGGAACTTTTCTACATACAGCGCCACCTGGGAGTCAACGTTTGATAACCGGACATTCAAATCTTTAAACTTAATGCAAAATAACAATTTTGCGTATTTATGCAGGTTTTTCACCGACTTCAAAAAAGGAGGAGCTTATCAATCCATCACAATTTGCTGTAACTGCAGTAAAAAAGCTCACCTAACACCAATTGCACTGAAGCTAATAAAATTTCATATTTATGCAACAAAAACAATGTTTTATTATTACTTATATTATATGACTATATTATTTAGGATGTATTACTAAAGCTACTCATAATGCTATAGTGAGTGATAAAAAAATAATAATTTCTTATACATACGTATACATATGTATGTACCTTGTTTTGAATTCGCTCTGAAACATAACGTATATGTATGTAGATACGAACAGCGTCAAAAGTTAGCATACACCTTGTTCTAATATAATATTCAAATATTTTTCATTAACATTTTTTTGTCAATAAATAAAGTTCATTCAAAAATCATATACTTTCTATAAAATTCATCGTATTTCCAAACTTTTTTATCAGAATTTTTAGAAATTTAATATAAGATGCGACACTTTTCTTTATATGGTTTCAGTTAAAGAATGAACTATATTTTCATAAAAACCATGGGATTATAATATTAGAATAAGCTACATGCTAACATTTAAATCGTACTGTACATACATTTTCAATGAAACTCAAGAAGGAATTCATGTAACCTTTAAAAAGAGAAATGAAAAATCTATGTCGAAAAAAACTAAATTAACGCGTTTTTATCTGTAACTATTCATTAAGAATGAATTTAATCTAGTTTTTGTAAAGATATTTGTACATCGTAATATTTAAATGTAGTAATCAATTTCATGTTTCCTTTATGTTACGAATACAGCATAAATTCAGGGTTTTGATTCCATTTCATCAAAAAAAAATAAATAAAAATTGTATTAAAAATATATTACGCTCTTCATCCATAATAATAATCGAAGTCATCATCTGAATCACTATCAATATACGCATCACTATACCCATCACTATACGAATCACTATCTTCCGGTGTATTACAATTAACAGCAGAATCGTTTATATCGAATGGAGTGCCTTCATTAGTTAGACCCATAAGCGGTTTATCGCCATGAAATAACAATTTCAGCAGATGCTGACCCTTTTGATAAGTGGTAGACTACGATAGGAATCTTTCATATAAATAAACTCTATTCAAATATCTACTTTAATTACCTGCAAAATATCTTTTCGGATGCGTGTACCATGCACCAACATGACAAGGGGTTGGGCAATTGTTTTCCTGATTTTTTGTGTCATTGGTGACACTTTTGTCGCCGCAGCGCGCTGCTGTAGGATATCCAAAGTATTCCATATCAGATTCTTTGTTACATGTCGACACATGCGTAAATTTATACGTTTTAATTTTGTACATGTTCTTATTAGAGGAAGCAAATATTTATCTCTTATGTAGGTGGAATAAGGCAAGCTGATCTCCTCCAAGTCACTCAGATTTGAAAGTTTTTCGATTAGTTCCTTTGAAACGTTAAATTCATCATCTCCCAGCCATAAAGTACGCAACTTGTGAAGACGTGCAATATTTATACCAACTGAGGGGAACATTATGCACGTTTGACCGCTTAATTTTAATTCCAATAAATCGTCAGCATGATAGTCGGCTAAAGTACTATAAAAAATTGATGCCATACTCTAGAAGATAAGAAAAATTAATATCAGCTCAGAACAGTTTAGGAGTGGTTATGGTCAACATATCGCTAGCTTAAAGTTGGAAATTCGTTTTTTTTTTAAGTATTTTTCTTCAAGTATTTGGTAAAACTTTAAGTACAATATATTGGCTATTTACAGCAAAGCAAAACTACGTTCGAATCAGGGGGAGTCGTATTATTTTGGATAATTAAAGTAGAGCAAAACTGCATTGGTATAAGAGGGAGAGATTTCGTTTTATATTGGCATTATAGAATTTTGCTTGCTTCTTTTGGACTAAGCGAACCTTGGACTTAGCCAATAATATGAAATTTCATTAAACATTAAGATGTAAAAAAAAAACAATATTCCGACGAACTGATAACCTCCTCCTTTTTTGGATTACTTACCGCCGATTTTAAATGCCGTACTTCTAAGGACTTTAACTTTGGTAGCTTTTCAATACTTTTGGCGATGGCATCACCTACACATGATACCTTCAATGTATCCAATGTTTTGCAATACTCAATGCACTTTTCCGGTTGTTGTATGCCATCCGTCATGCGTATATCCAAATAGATCAGCTGCAGATGTTGGCAACACCACATAAGCACTTCGTCTGTGATACTCTCACACCCATATAAGCTTAATCGTTCCAATTTACAAAATAACATCAAATGTATGCCTTCTATACGATGATTGCAGGCAAGGCCAAGAGCGCGTAAATTTCGCAATTTCCTTAAACATTCTAGATCAAAATCACACAAATTGCAATTGTACAATTCCAGCTCGGTAATATAGTCGAGGCTCAGTGCATTGAGAAAGTCAATATAAACCCAGGAATACAGTGACATTATATGTAGGCGCCTTACACGCATATTACATTCTTTCATGAAAGTACAACTATTATTCTTAGCAGAAAGCGTGAGATATCTTCGGCCAACTAAAATGCTCTCTATGTAATATCCAACAGTGTAGAAAAATTGCCGCAGCTCCCAAGTTGAATAATACCAGAGCCTTTCAAAATTGACATGGCGCGGAAGACGTGGACAGATCATTTGCATGAATACCTGCTTCAGACGTGGATGACAAAGCGATAAGCGGATTTGCTGACGCAAATCAAGTTTTTTAAAGATTTCCTCTAAACAATAGTCGTTGAGCAAGACTAAACTCAGACAGTTGTTTTCCATTGAAGGACATTCCATTTCAAACGGCTGCTCCCAACTAGGACACGCCTTTACTATTATGCGTTGATGATTCAGAGTATGATGACGTTTCTTTAAAGTGCTGGAACCGAAATATATATTTTAATTGCGATCACTTAAATAACAAAAATACATTGCAACTCACGCGCTCGCTCCTTCCACGTTCTGATACTTTATAATGCATTGGGCTGGTGTACGGCGCGTCTTACCGTACGTTATATATACATCTTTAATTTGACCAAATTTAGAAAAATGCTGTCTTATATGTTTGAGTTGGATCTAGAAAAAGTGATAAATTATTTCAAGCTGAAAAATGTTCCCATAAACCATATTATGTGAGAATTTTTTACGTTGTTACAATTTGGTTGGTTGAAGAGTTGGACCCTACTCCAACGACTCTGGGAAGTCGATTAGGGCGCAATGAGCTATCACAACAACAATACAGGCACTGCACCTAACCTACTCTCATATTCTTGGGGGGCATAAGCCTAAAATTACTTACATTATTTGACAATTTTTCAATCATCACATTGTAGACCGCTACATTATCCTCGGTGTAGGCGATGGATTGGCGCACCTTGTTCGAAGAGCGTAGCGTCATAGCTGAAATAATAAGAAATACAAGTGACCATTAATTTATTAGCACGAGATTACTGCTTACTGCTTTTATTATCCATCGTAAATTTTCTTTTTATTTATTCCTTTTAGCAAAGGCTTAAGGCGAATTTGAGAATTCTTCAGACGCAAAATGATTTTCATAACAAATTGCTAATTATTGAACTGTTTTCCAAATTTGAATGAAAAACGGATAAAGAAAATTGAAAAAGCCAGTGTTAACCACGATGCAGCGAACAAAGGTGGCGCCGTCAGTGGTACCGCTACTTTAGTTTTGTCGATTTTGACAATTGTGGTAACTTGTAAATAAACCTTTGTTTACAAATCAGCGAAAGAGAAATTTTAATTATAAGTGAAAAATCAGTTTAAATTGTGTTAATTTTCAATTTGTGAGTTATTTTTGAGTTGAGGACTGCGTAAAAACTAATACAACGAAGTGCTGTGTGTTAAACTGCGTCAGCCGTCAAGATGCAAGAAGCGTAGATGCAAGTGTAGCGCTGGGACGAATCGCTGCATTCTGTGTACATAGGGCACGGCAAAGCCGTTGCCGAAATGTTTCTCTATTATTATATTACCAGCATTTCCTCACAATGATTTTGTTTCTGCTCCACGCAGTCTCCATTAGCAAGTTAACTAATCAATCCCGCAGAGATGCTGGTGCAGTTTTCTGCAGCAGCTTTAATTGCTAAGCAATGGAGTGCACTAAAATGTTCACTGTTCTCTAATAGATTAGGTGAAAAATGCAATATTTTCACATTTAGCAAAATTAAAACACGTTTTTCGCTGTAAAGTGAACTGCTTTGGCAGTTTCAACTCGCTCTTCTTTTCGCTCCATTCTTTGTTTACTTGTGGTACACAAATGTCAGAGCCCAGGACGGCGTAATCTTGTATTCTATCATTCTTGAGTGTTAACTGGCCGTTTTCAGGTGCTGGAAAATCTCGCTTGTGACGTCTCGCACGTGTAAAACTATGTTCACATATCAATATTATCTCAATCAAAGCTCGTTTTTTAATCACCCCGTTTACACAGGCAAATCTCAGATTATTAGCCGTCAAATTTGTTGTGCTTGTTATTCTCACATCTCAAGGAAAAGTTATGTTTCTTCTCTGTGCCACCGTGATCACGTTTTTCTGCTATAATAAGCAATATAAATATATTTCAACTTAACATTTTATTAAAAATACCCTTGCAAACCTTTTACTTGCTAGCGTACATTTTTGTTTACTTTTACATTTGGCATTTCTCCTCTCTTTCGCAAAAACAATCGATAAAACTAGGATGGACACCGAAAAGTTATCGGTTAAATCTGAGATTATTTTATAATTACAGATTAACAAGGGACGAATTTTGTATGGCTAATCTCTTGTTATATTTACAGATTAGGGTGTTAAGCTCGAAAATGAGGATAATCTACTTGTATGTGAATCTAGTATAAGCTTCGAAAAGTACGAAGCAGGGCATTTCTCGCATACCGAGCGGTTTGCGAGATCTCGCATGCTTTCAACTATCATTTTTGTTATTTGGCAGGTATTTTCTCATCTCGCAGAATTCTTCAGAATATAAACATCTTTATTTTGGTGGAATATACAAATTTGGCCTGTAAAGCTCGAACCTTGTTTTTTGGCGACATTTTACAAATGAAAAAGTAAGCTGTCAAGTGTCCAGTCAACAAAAGTCTATGGGCTCTGTCACACGGTCAGTATTTATTGACGTGATCCAAGTATCGCGATATTTATTGACGGTGTAGCATGCAGTATTGATGGATCGTGATCCATATCGCAAAATTTCTAAAAATTTTGAAATCTGGATCGCGGATCGCAATTTCGTCAATAAATATTGAACGTGTAGCACTTTCAAAACGCGATCCATACATTTCGTCAGTACATCTTTTACTCTCATAATGCGAACATCGAAAACGTATTCGCTCTCGGTGCTTAAAACCTTTCAAAACAAATTCAGAAAATTTTAACTAACATTGGAAATTTTTAAATAATTATGGAATGCATTATCTGTAATTTATACGCCCAAAATAAAAATATTTTCTTGTGTCATAATAAGCGTTCAGCACAAAAATTATGCAAATACTGACGCGATAAATATTGAACATGTAGCATTCGTGCGCGATCCATCAATCCATCAATATGGATCACGATCCAAATAACGTGATAATTACTGACCGTGTGACAGGCCCTATCTCGCTTGCGGTAGAAAAAAGCGAGATTTTCAAGCATGTGAAAACGGCCGGTAAAGAAATAATGGAACGAGCAAGGCGGTGTTATTACTGGCGAATTTAGATTACAACAACGACAACCATATGTATTTTGTATGGAGGTTGTTATATCAAATCTCAATTCGCTCAAAAGTTTACATGTTTACATGTATTTTGTAAAAGCAAAATAACTAAAAGCAAAAACAAAATACATGTAAAGCCAAAGATTGCGCATTCCCGCAGAATGACATTTGTGGCAACGAGAAAAAACAACATGAACGAAAGACACAAGAGGTTCATTCCTTATCTTTTTGGACTAAAATCTGAAAAGTGTCAAAATGCCAGAGCGTAAGCAAAATGCGCTCACTAAAAGAGAATAACAGGAAAAGTAAAGGAACGCAAAACACCAAATTTTTAGTCCAAAGAATGGCAACAACAAAACTAACGTCAAATAAGAACAGAAATGTATGTACAAAACACATTCACACAAGCACAAGCACAATAAACACTTGCTATATCAATTATTTTTTGCCTNATTTTCGTTTTTGCTGCAAGTGCTGCCAATCCATTCGAATGTTGCCGTGTGACGCTGCTTCAAAGAATTTTACGGAATGAGAAAATAGCTGACTGTTGAAAGCAAGCGAGAGCCCGCAAACCGCTCGGTTCGTACTTTTTGCGGTCTACATGTGCGGGAACCATGAACGAAAGACACAAGATCACGCCTCCCCGAAAGAAAGAAAAAAGTTATTTTCTAGCTGTTGAAATCTCGACGCCATCTTTGTTGGAAGAAGTAAACAACGAAGAGAACAAAAAAAACCGCGTAATTGTTGAACGCATGAATAATCATTTTTATTATGCAAATTCTTCTATAAATCATGTCGTTGTGTTAAATTATTCTTTACCTTATGTGTGCACACGTTGTCACAAGCGAAAATTAAGAAAATTGCAGTAAAAAGCCACCACCAAATTGTAAACAACGAACAAATGTAAACAAACGGATAATGTCAAAGTCGCCCAACTTTTTTCCTAAATGCGATTATAACGGGCTACTAAGAAGCATGGTACAAAAGTCAAAGTTTTCGGGAGAGTAAAAATAAAAATGAGCGTGTAAGGAAAAATAAAAAAATACATTTCACTGGTTGACGTTTTTAAGTATATTTGAAGTTTATTCTTATTTATTTATTTTCTTTAGTTAAAATTTGATAAAACGTGTATGTTGTTTTCTGTTTTTGTTTTATGAGTTGCAGTGTTGTTGGAGGGACTTTTCGGCATAAGGGTCATAGGAACAGCACTTGGCTTCAAACGTGCCTTTCCTGTACCTCCCGGTGTATTTGTGGAATCTTCTTCTTTAAAATGTTTAACGCACAGCAAGGCACATGATTCAATAATACAAGGTTAGATAATTATTGACAGCTGCGGTTTGACACTCCCTTACAAAAGGTTGCATTTACGAAGGACAGAGAAAGGGCAAGAATGCAA